AGCCCCCACAGCAGCAGGAGATCATTGGCAAAGGAAGAACAAGGATGATTAAGGGTAATTATCCTTGCAAATTCCTTCCAGGGATGGGGGGGAATGAGCTTCACTTGCAGTTCATCTCGGTACCTGGCTCTCGCTCTGGCATGGAATGTGGAGGGGCAGAGAGGCGCTGAGTGCAAAAGCACATCGCCTGTCAAAAACTCTCCAACGCTGCCATTAAGCAGCAGAGGTTCTCCTGTTAATTAGAGCTTAATTGGACTAAAGTACAGGCACATGCTAGAAGAGGTGAGATCACAAACTGTCGAACAAACCAACTGCAAGAACTCGAGATAAGATTTAATTCAGTGCAAAAGAAGGTGGGGGGAGGGGAGCCTACGGTTTCTTTATCTAAAGTTTTCTTCTCTACATTCATGATTTGGCAATCCTCCTCTGAAGGTTAGTTCAAATTATATTTGTAAAGGTTCACAATAGAAACTTAGAGCTGACTCTTCCCCATCCTTTATTATTTACGAAGTGAACTGAAAAACGCTAAGAGGACTTGGGATTTAATTTAATTGGAAGTATTTGTTGTTGTTGTTTAGTCGTTTAGTTGTGTCCGACTCTTCGTGACCCCATGGACCAGAGCACGCCAGGCACTTCTGTCTTCCACTGCCTCCCCCAGTTTGGTCAGACTCATAGTTGTAGCTTCGAAAACACTGTCCAACCATCTTGTCCTCTGTCGTCCCCTTCTCCTTGTGCCCTCCATCTTTCCCAACATCAGGGTCTTTTCCAGGGAGTCTTCTCTTCTCATGAGGTGGCCAAAGTATTGGAGCCTCAGCTTCACGATCTGTCCTTCCAGTGAGCACTCAGGGCTGATTTCCTTCAGAATGGATAGGTTTGATCTTCTTGCAGTCCATGGGACTCTCAAGAGTCTCCTCCAGCACCATAATTCAAAAGCATCAATTCTTCGGCGATCAGCCTTCTTTATGGTCCAGCTTTCACTTCCATACATCACCACTGGGAAAACCATAGCTTTTACTATACGGACCTTTGTTGGCAAGGTGATGTCTCTACTTTTTAAGATACTGTCTAGGTTGGTCATTGCTTTCCTCCCAAGAAGCAGGCGTCTCTTAATTTCGTGGCTGCTGTCACCATTGGAAGTATAATTGCTCATATATCTTCAATTGGAAGGAAGGATGAAAGGAGTCTATGAACTACCAAGGAATTTATAAGGCACAGTGGCATATTGTGCGTTGCCAGCGCCCGAGGCCATGCAGAGGGGTGGTAGGGAGGGAAACAGATGGAGTACACATGTACATTCAAGCATCCATGTCACCCAGGAAATCGCAGCCGCAGATGTAAGAATAGAAGGAGTCGTTCCGTTGTCTGGAGAGGTCACTTCCTGTTTTGCATGGAGATAAAGAACAACACAACGTTTAGAAGGCATCTGAAGGCAGCCCTTTTTAAGTTTGACGTTTTATTATATTTTTATGTGTGCTGGAAACCGCCAACAGTAGTTGGGGCAACACAGCCAGATGGATGGGGTATAAATAAAATAAAATAAAATTTGAATGGAGCCAAGCAACGGAAGTGCGCAGCTGTATTGAGGCAGACCAGGTGTTGAAATTTTGTGCCCCTAACAATTTTACGTCCAGGGCAACCACCCCTGTGCCCCCCATACCATACCACTGCTGGCGCAGAGTTGGCAGTATGCCCAAGTTCCTACTTGTCTTGCCAGAGTGGTGCATGCTCTAGTTATCTCCCGCTTGGACAACTACAATGCGCTCTATGTGGGGCTACCTTTGAAGGTGACCCAGAAACTGCAATTAATCCAGAATGCGGCAGCTAGACTGGTGATTGGGACTGGCCACAGGGACCACATAACACCGGTCCTGCGAGATCTGCATTGGCTCCCAGTACGTTTCCAAGCACAATTCAAAGTGTTGGTGCTGACCTTTACAGCCCTAGACGGCCTCGGTCCTGTATACCTGAAGGAGCGTCTCCACCCCCATCATTCAGCCCAGACACTGAGATCCAGCACCGAGGGCCTTCTGGCGGTTCGCTCATTGTGAGAAGTGAGGTTACAGGGAACCAGACAGAGGGCCTTCTCAGTAGTGGCGCCCACCCTGTGGAACCCCCTCCCTTCAGATGTGAAGGAAATAAGCAGCTATCCTATCTTTAAAAGACATCTGAAGGCAGCCCTGTTCAGGGAAGTTTTTAATATTTAATGCTGTACTGTTTTTAATATTTGATTGGGAGCCGCCCAGAGCGGCTGGGGAAACTCAGTCAGATGGGCGGGGTATAAATAAATTATTATTATTATTATTATTATTATTATTATTATTATTAGTGTTGTGAGGTCAGTCTGTATTATGCAAAGTGCTTCCTTTTTGTTCAAAGTGCCCTCCTGCCAATGTTCCCAAATGTGCATGACATGACGCCAGGGGCATATTACCTCATGCCAGGCATCCTGCATACAATTTGTGGCCTCACTGTGATTACCTCACCCCCAAAGTCAAGAGGAAATCTAGGTCTTGGGCTGGTGTAAAGCTCTCTCACTGACAGTGATGTAGCCGTGGCTCGAAGGGGTATAGGATCAAGCCAACCTGGTATTGTCCATATAGTTTTGGACTACATCTGGAGGGCACTAGGTTGCCTTGGACGTGGGTGGCGCTGTGGGTTAAACCACAGATCCTAGAACTTGCTGATCAGAAGGTCAGTGGTTCAAATCCCTGTGATGGGGTGAGCTCCCGTTGCTCAGTCCCTGCTCCTGCCAACCTAGCAGTTTAAAAGCACATCAAAGTGCAAGTAGATAAATAGGTACCGCTCCGGCGGGAAGGTAAACGGCGTTTCCGTGTGCTGCTCTGGTTCGCCAGAAGCGGCTTAGTCATGCTGGCCACATGACCCGGAAGCTGTACTCTGGCTCCCTCGGCCAATAAAGCGAGATGAATGCCGCAACCCCAGAGTCGGTCACGACTGGAGCTAATGGTCAGGGGTCCCTTTACCTTTAGGTTGCCTTAGATCAGGGTTTCCCAGCTGATGTTGGACTACAACTCCCATCATCCCTAGCCAGTAGGACAAGTGGTTATGGATGATGGGAATTGTAGTCCAAAAACTGCTGGAGACCCAAGTTTAGATTAGGCTTAGATTCAGCAAAGTGCTCCTCCCTGTGCCACTCCTTTCCTGCTCATGACTCCGCCCTGTCTTAGCTGTTCCGCCAGTGAATATTCACAGGCATTCCTCTCATATATTTTGTGTGTGTGGTGGCGGGACCTTTTGCACTCTGCTGATGCTGCAGGGCTTCTGCTGAATCCTGTAGCTCCTCTATCAATGCATTTTCAGCATAGGATTGCTGCCTCAAATCAGTTAAAAATAGGTATATCACCATATGTTCTTCTTTAAAGCGGCAACTGTTTCCTGGTGTCTAAACAATGCATCCAGGTACCACATTTTTCGCTCTATAACACGCACCCGACCATAACACGCACGTAGTTTTTAGAGGAGGAAAATCCGTAGGCATGCCACCCGTAGGCATTTCCTCCATAACACGCACAGACATTTCCCCTTACTTTCTAGGAGGAAAAAAGTGAGTGTTATGGTGCAAAAAAATACGGTATATTACGGCTTGGAGAAGAATTTCAAACACACGGCTTGGAGATGAACAAAATCGGAGGTGCATTTCAGACAAATTAAGCGTTGGTTATATCCATATTGACTCAAATGGGAGGGTTATGATTACCTCACCCACTGCAATCCCTGGGATTTAAAAATGCTAAGATTTGATTGGATTACGCGATGTAACAATGCCATTAGCCAGTACGGAGGTAGGATCAGCTAAAAATCCAGTTTTAATATGTGACAAACAAATCACAGAATAAATATTTCAGCCCCAGCGTGGATACAGGTCATACCTACCTTCCAAGGGCTATCTAATTCTGTTCTTCTTCTGTGACGGAAAGTTGCAGGATTCTTGTTTTGGCAAGAAAAGAACTCAGTCTGGGTGTGGGGATCTGAAGGCCAGGGTTTTCCTATGGGGAAATTTGGCATCATCAGATCAGGAGCATATATATCCATGATGTGCAGAAAGAGACACAGATGTGATTTGACAGCAGTAGTTTCCGAAGGTACGCAGCCGAGATCTGGGGGAAAAAAATCCGTTAAAATTGCGATGCATTTAGAAAGAGGGTGCCAGGCTTTCTCGTACTAGTATAACACCAGCCTGTCTTTCAGTTGTTGAGTGGATGCTACAAGGCCTAAAAATGACCTCAGCCTGATGGCATACTCTTCAGGGATCATGTTGCATGGGCTACTTGAACCTACTTTGTCTCCCATGATAGCATTTGTGCAAAAAGATAGCCGTCCTTCCCTCTCTGCTCCCTCCTGCACAAAGCTTGTTGCAGCACTAAAGACATCATGTCTGCTCCATTCTTTTGCATAGGGAAGAGTTTTGGCCTTGCAAACAGAGGAGCTTTGGAGACGAGTCCGTTACACCTCGGAAAACCTGCAACTTGGGGAAGCCCCTCCTTGAACCGCCCCAGTTCAGAGAGGAGGACGGATGCTTTTTCTATACCAGGCTGCAACCAAAAATACACCCACAAATTGGCCCCTTGTGCTGCAGTAGCATCCTTGGGAGTTATGACCCGTCTACCCCCAGCCAGGAGTGTTTCCGTAAAGCTCCTTAGCTGAAAGGTGGAAAGAGGGAAACGTAAATGCACAAAGGAGTTGATCTATGAGGAGGATCAAAACCCTGAAAGCCGGAGCAGGATCTGGCTGTCTCCTTGTGTACTCCTCAGCCTTTTTTATAAGCACCACCGCAGCTTCCCAGGCCAGGCAGGGAAGAGTTAAGAGACCCCAATCAGTTGAACTCAGTTCCCACCTCCTGGGCTGGGCTAGGGAGCCTTATAAAGCTCACAGCCGGGGTAGAAGGCAGTGGGCTTAGGTGGAGCTCAGCAGCAGCAGAGAGGAGCTTGGAGACTGCCCTGCTGCCGCTGCGCACCGCACCTCCACCGCCGTCCTGTCTCACCATGTGGGAGGCGCGTTCCTCCTCCTTCTGGAGGGCTGTCTTTGCCGAGTTCTTCGGCACCATGTTGTATGTCTTTTTCGGCCTGGGGGCCTCGCTACGCTGGGTGGTCGGCCCCCTGAACGTTCTGCTGGTGGCCTTGGCTTTCGGCTTGGTGGCGGCCACCATGGTGCAGTCTCTAGGCCACGTGAGCGGAGCGCACATCAACCCAGCCGTCACCATGGCCTTCCTGCTGGGCTCGCAGCTCTCCCTGTTCCGCGCCGTCTTCTACATGGTTGCCCAGCTGCTGGGAGGAGTGGCCGGTGCAGCCGTGCTTTACGGAGTCACGCCAGCAGCGTTGCGGGGTAACCTGGCACTCAACACGGTAACTGGATCATGCAGAGGGTGTTTGAGGAGGGTGGCACCCCTATAATCTAAGCATCCACAAGGTCGTATTGCTGCATGCGAGAGCTCCACTGAAGGATTGCATAGTGGGGGGGGGTTTAATTCTGAGTTATTAGGGGCAATCCCAGGGGTGCTAGAAGGAGGAGAGGGATTCTTAACATCTCATAAGGAGTCTTGAGTCCCAAGATCTAGGAAGAATACAACCCACTAGCATAGGGCCTGGAGCCGGACTCTACATGCATTTGTGGGAGATGCAGGAGACATTTGTCTCAGCTGTTATCTTTGATTGACAGCTTGTCAACTTGACTTTGGCTTCATAACTGGGTGGCACCCAGATGTTGGAAGATGATCTGAATGCATAGCCGTCTGTGTGTGTGTGTGTGTGTGTGTACTGTGAGGGAAGAGAGCAGGATCACAAAGGAATGCGAGACAGGAATATTTGAGGATGATTGTGTAATGAAGACAGCATAGTGGGATTTAATAAGTGTCGGCTTGGGCTATACGTAGGTTTTCCACGCATCAAGCTAACAAACGCCTTTGTGGCTTCTGCCAGCTGGATGAGCGCCATGCATGTGAACTTTGTTAACTGCCAGACACAATGCAGAAGAGCAATCTTGTAGCCAATTGTTTGCATTTAAGAAAAAAAGCCAACTTATCCCTTAGGCGTGAAAAGGCCTGTCATCTGTTGAAGCCCACACCTAACTAATCTGCTGGTTTTATAATGATTCTATCTTTATTTCAAGATCAAGCATAACTTAGCTTCTTGGGAGGATGTCTTGTCGATTGTAGCTCACAAAGAGCCCAATCCTAAATACGTTTACTTAGTCAGAAATATGTCCCGCTGAGTTAAACAGGATTTGCACTGCGGTAGGTTTTCATAAAATTTAAGCCTGTGCCCGTAATGAACACCTCCCATTGTTTCATGGGCTGTGGGTTGTTCCTCTCAAAACTCCCTCAACCACATGTGATCTGATAGCTCAGTTCATTCTCCTAACAGAACAGTTTAAAGGAAACCCAGAATTACTAGTTGCTTTTTCGGCATCCGTCTGTCTCGGGAGCCAATGGAGGAATGTGGTATATGTTAGGTAATAACCGACTACATGACTTTTCCTTTATGGGGTTGACAGCAGAACTGCCAAAGAAGCTGGCAGATGACCATAGCTGAAATTTAAATTTTCCAAATCAATTTTGTATCAAGTAGTCCTTCTCCTTTCTTAAATTTAGATGCTTCCACCTCAGAGATGTTGGTTTGATGCCAGATGTTCAGATTTGTTGCTCTGCCAGTTGGTGTGTTTTAGGCTTCCCTAGAAACATGTCTGGATTGTCAGAATTTACACTTCCTTCAGAAATTATCTGAATCTGTTCTTTTGTTGTTGTTGTTTAGTCGTTTAGTTGTGTCCGACTCTTCGTGACCCCATGGACCAGAGCACGCCAGGCACTCCTGTCTTCTACTGCCTCCCGCAGTTTGGTCAAACTCATGTTCGTAGCTATGAGAACACTGTCCAACCATCTCATCCTCCGTCGTCCCCTTCTCCTTGTGCCCTCCATCTTTCCCAATATCAGGGTCTTTTTCAGGGAGTCGTCTCTTCTCATGAGGTGGCCAAAGTATTGGAGTCTCAGCTTCAGGATCTGTCCTTTCAGTGAGCACTCAGGGCTGATTTCCTTAAGAATGGAGAGGTTTGATCTTCTTGCAGTCCATGGGACTCTCAAGAGTCTCCTCCAGCACCATAATTCAATCTGTTCTAGGCCAGTCTAAAGGATTTTGGCTCTGGTTTGTTTTTTTTAATGCGGTGCTTCACAGCTTCAGCTGGAGACATTTGATTCAGTTAGGGCTGGGATGAAACTTGGGGTAACTGAGCTAAAGACGTCAAGAACTGGTAACTATGTTTAAAATATGTTTTGTCCACTCAAAGAAAGCAAAAGCATCTAGAGCAACAAAGATAAAGAGATGAGTCTAGGGATTTAAGATCTACCAAAAAAAAAAAAATCATAAAGTAAGAGTGTGTATACAAACAAAAAAATAACATTTGCAGAGCATTTTTTCTCCACTAGGTTGAACCTATCTTCCCCCAAGCTTTGTTGCACGAAGGTCGGATATAAATTCCCAATGGAGATGCGGTCATGATTTCAAATTCCCTTTTTCTCCAGGGAGCCTGCTGGTTCTTTAAAAGAAATACACTCGTTGGGTGGATTGAAGGAGAAACAGCACGTTCAGTGCCAGCACCCAGAGCCTGGGGCAACTGCTAGACAGGGACCACCACTAACACCCCCCCTCAGGGGGCGAGGGGGGGCAAAACACTTTATTTTTCATGGTCCTGTAAGGTCAGTGGCACCAAGTGCCTAACTCTAGCTGCCATTTAAATTTCCCACAATGCCCATGGTGGACATGACGGAAAAATAAAACCAAGGTCCAACCCAGGCTTGACAGATAATTAAAAGCAGTCCTAGCCTTCTTAGCTAGGGCAGGGCAGGGGGGGCAGGGAATTGGGCTTGTGGGTTTATTTAAGTGCCCCCTTACCCCCCTCCCCGCAAATCATTGAAGGATGGAGGATGATGAGAAAATTGAAGAGAGATACAGTGGTACCTCGGGTTATAGATGCTTCAGGTTACAGATGCTTCAGGTTACAGACTCCACTAACCCAGAAATAGTACCTTGGGTTAAGAAATTTGCTTCAGGATGAGAACAGAAATCGCATGGCAGCGGCGCAGTGGCAGCGGGAGGCCCCATTAGCTAAAGTGGTACCTCAGGTTACCTCAGTTTCAGGTTAAGAACGGACCTCCAGAACGAACTAAGTTCTTAACCTGAGGTACCACTGTATTTAGGCTTATGTTGCCCTTAGCCTAATTCCAAGCAGGCAGCAAGGTGGGTGGGGTGGGGTGGCAAAAAGAGAGACAAAAACGGGAGGGGGGTGTTGTCTCTGCCGCCTGCCACTTCTTTTGCGCTTTGGTTTCTACAGATGGCTTTAGTTTTCCCCTGACAGATCACAGGAGGAAGAGTTCCCAATTCCTGCTGCAGCACATAGCTCGGCACACTTGCTAAATTAATTTCAAGGGAGGCAGTGTGGTGTAGTGGTTGGACCAGAACGTATCATTACTTGAGCCACAAAGCTCAGGAGATAACGCTTGCAGCCACCCTATCTCCTCTTCTTTTTTCTTTCTTTGTCTTTTTATTATTAGCAAATTCATACATACATAACCAATGAAAAAACATACAGAAAAAGAAGAGAAAAAGAAAAAGAAGGGGGCAGAAAAAAGGAAAATAAAGAAAAAATAACTATATCAAAATGACACCTTAAACAATAAGAATACCTATCTACTGATAAGTACTGTTTAATATAATTCAAACCTATATTGGTATTTATTGTATAGTCTAACCTTCAGTTTGGATTGAATCCCTTTACCATTTATTATGTTATTGACTTCCTTCTGCCTCTTTATGGTTTCGGTTCAAGTTTTCCTGTTTTATACCCTGTGTTTAATTATTTATCCTCATCTTGGAATGAATAAAAAATATTTCCCTATTTGCAGAGTTATTCAAAGCACAGCCAAGTCTTAATATTGGAACCTTGTTTCATCAAATACTTGCTAAAACATTCCCATTCTTTTTTTAACTTTGCCTGTTGATTCATTGACTCTGTAATTTTTGCGAGTTCCAAGTACTCACATATTTTTAGCTGCCATTCCTCTCTTGATGAAATATCTACTCTCTCTCTTCTTAGTCTATCCCACAGGGTGGAGATTAGTCTGAACTTCTTGGAATAAGATGGAATATATAACATAATATCACTCTTTGTCTGAAGGTATTCTTATCTGCTCCCTGCTTTTTCCACACAGTGGTCTCAATTTGCACAGGTTCTTTTATAGTGGGGGGGGGGGTGTTGTTAGGAGTTTGTGGGTGCCAAACTCCCCTGTGGATGCCAGACTCCCTGTGTTATGAGTTTCAGGCTCCCTCATGTTATTAGTTTTTGGGTGCCCAGACACTGAACCTCTAGATTGAGCAATTGTTAAAATATTAAGCTGGGCTAGTTTCCTGATGAGGAAATTACCTGTGGTGATGGGCCATTAGGAAAGCTCTGTGCCAGATGGCAAATAGGAAGGGGCCCTCCCTCAACTCAGAGTTAGTTAGAAGACAAAAGCCAAAGTTTAGAGGCTTTAGAGTTGGCTGGGATGTGACCTGGAGGATAAAGGTTGCAGTCTGGTAAAGGCGGCAAGCTGGAAAGCCGTGGCTAATTTCTGTCCTGAAGCCACAGCTGCAGCTATGGGAGAAGCAAGACCCACTTGGGGTGCCAATACTATGAACCCCTCCATCATAGGCTCAGGTTGTATATATGTGTAAATAAACCATATACCATAAAGACACCACAGTCTCCTCTGTGCCTCATTTCCCAAAGGAAACACAGACCCTGGGTAAACATGCCTGGAACCCCTGGAATCTTGCATCGCTCAGAAATTGGGGTGGCATGCAGCAATATTGTCCTACTTTTGTGAGGGTATGAAGGGCTGGTGGTCAAATTAGATGGCCTTTTTTGGGGGTACCCACCAGCTGAATTATTCTGTATTTGCCTAGGGTGTTAAACCTAACCCAGAGTTATTCATACAGCCCTTGAAGAGTAAAAGCATATCATCATTAATGCATTTTAAGCAAGTAAAATAGTGTCTTAAACTATGTGGACTCTCACACTAATTGGAGTCTGAAGCTGAGAGACAGTGTCATGACTTGCACCTTTGCTTGGGCTTATGGTATACAGTGGTACCTCAGGTTACATACGCTTCAGGTTACAGACTCCGCTAACCCAGAAATATTACCTCGGGTTAAGTACTTTGCTTCAGGATGAGAGCAGAAATCGTGCTCCAGCGGCGCGGCGGCAGCAGGAGGCCAATTAGCTAAAGTACAGACCTCCGGAACAAATTAAGTACTTAACCTGAGGTACCACTGTATACCTGAGACTTGTTGGGTAGGATTCTGTCACCACTCAGTTCTGGAAGGAACTGGAGAGAGACCAGCCACACTTATGAATGAGACTGGCATGTCTTTATATCAGTAGACCAGATCAAGTCAGTAATATTCCCTGGTACCCACAAAGGCTTCCTGCTCACACTCACTCATAAGTCTGAGCATGCCAGGGACTCTGTTCAGGCTTCCTGGTGCTTTTTTTAACCTACTTTTCTCCCTTACCTCCCTTCACTTCTGTTGCCTCGGTCAACTCCTTGCACCACTGGCACCAAGTCTGACAGACCAACCTCCGCATTGCCACCTGTTAAATGCTTTGCCCAAATCTCTACATCCAACTTTTGATTAGCTCCATAAATATTTGCTAGGCATGTAAAAGATGCCGTGAGAGTTGCCTTCAGTATTGTAAATGGCAAAGTTCTGGATGCCATGTCAATAAGCTTATTGTATGATCAGAACAATAGCAGAGGAAGGAATGAGGTGTGGGCTTCTGTCGTTTCCTCATGGTTCTGTCCTTCTTTGTGTCTCCCTGATTTCAGATACACCCCAGTGTAAATGTAAGCCAAGCTACAGTCGTGGAGATCTTCCTGACCTTACAGTTTGTCCTCTGCATCTTCGCCACCTATGACGAGAGACGTAACGGGCGCATGGGATCTGTAGCATTGGCTGTGGGATTCTCCCTCACTCTTGGACACCTCTTTGGGGTAATGACTCTGTGCAGGATGCACAGATGTGGTAACAGATGTAGCCTATTTGCACAGATTACCTTCATATTAGCCACACATAGCACTGTGCTGCCCTCCCCCATAGCTTTCAACTTACAGATTTGAAAATAAGGGACCAGCATCCTCCAAAATAAGGGATTAGCAGCCAAAATAAGGGATTTTGCTTAGCTTATGAGTTCCATCGGCCCTTCCCCACCCAAGAGGGAGGGGGAGAGACTCTCGCCCACGCCACCCGCAAGCCCGGCATGAGGTAGTTGCGGCGGTGTTGCGGCCGCTGAAGCGCCGCCCTTCTGCGTCCCTCCCCATCCCCTCCTCTTCCTCCTCTCTCAGGCCGCCTCCTCAGCCTCCTCCGGCTTCCTCTGGCAGCGCTGCAGAAGTCTCGCAAGAGAGGGGCTGCCTGCCCGCCTGCTGCCACCCGTCTCCTCACGACGTGCCCCTGAGGGGGAAAAGGGAGAGACGGAGATGCGGCAGCTCGTGCGCCCGCTCTCTCGAGGTGGAGGACCCCGAGCCGCTGCTTCCCTCCCGAGCCGGGCAAGCATGAAACCCGGGAAATTTAAGGGACATCATCAATCCGGGACAGCAGTGGGACACGGCGCTGGGATAAGGGAGTTTCCCGCCAAATAAGGGACAGTTGACAGCTATGCCCTCCCCATGCTTTAGCACAAACCCACTTTTCCATCAGTTTGCAATGCAACAGATCATGTTGGCTCCCTTGCTGTCGAGATTCTGGGGGCCTTTTTGCATGTGATCAAAAGGAATTCCCAATTTCGGAGTGGCCATATATGGGAGTACAAATAGAGCAATACTGTGACATTCAGAGTGAATCACAGCTGCTGGAAAAAGGGAAATATTATGTTGTTTGTCGACTGTCCATATCACTGCATTTTAGCAGAGGATGTGACAGAAAGCTACGGGATCACAGATAAATCCCACCAAGCCTTTAGCTGGAATGGGGAATAAATTTAATTTGATTCACATTTAAAGGCAAACACACATAATTTGCACTTTCTAAAATAATATGCAAACTGAAATGTAGCCGTCCTTCAAAATGTGCAGTTCTCATAATTTTGCAATGAAGTTCTCTTTCCTAGTAATGTGTACAAATATGTATATCCTGGGGGTAGTGTTTGCATTGAAATGTACACACTAGTGGAAAAAAAATACAAAATGGCATTATATTCAGGAAACTTGCTTTGCAAAAATGTCTGCGTTGGGCAAAATTTGCACTAAAATGTGGACAAAGTTCATTGAAGACACTAAAACCAACCAACCAACCAACCAACCAACCAGAAACTGATGTGCAAGAACTGACTTAAAGACTAAGAAAACGAGACACTGAAATTGACAGCTTGGTCCGGAGTCAGCCTTTAGAAAAGAAATTGGACCTGCTTGGGGTCCAGGGACATGGGGGTGCCTTATATACAGGGGGGAAACAGTTTCTCCATTCTAACCTTACTGTCTTGCAGATGTACTTCACAGGAGCTGGCATGAATCCTGCCCGATCCTTTGCCCCTGCTGTCATCACCCGCAATTTCACCAACCACTGGGTAAGGAGAGGGTTTGGGGGTAAGAAAGCAGGCTTATTCCTAATCAGGTGTGTGACAACATATCAAGCTAAGGGTTGCAGAGAAAGTTCTGAGCCTTTCAGGCCAGATTCCTCCAACGCTTTATTTCACGTATTCTAAAGACACCACTCTTACCCAGCCAAATGGGCGGGGTGTGAATAAATAACTATATTATTATTATTATTATTATTATTATTATTAAACCTCTCCCTGAAAATTCATCCTTCACAAAGGCAGTGCTGAGCAGTAGTAGATCTCTGCAGATGCAAAGCTCAGATTGGAGACGGGTTCAGTTATTGTGTCTGGTTCAAAGGAGTATTTGGGTCAATGGTGACGTGGAAGCACCCTAGAACTCTGTGTCACCCCAGATAAAATGAAGATAACCCAAGCAGAAGATTCCCATGTCAATACCTTCATAGGGGAGCAGGTTATGGTGCCCCATGAATAATTTTAAACACAGTTGCCAATACTTAAAATAATACAAAGCTCTGAAGTGTCTGCCCTTAGTCTGTGCCAACTTTGTACCAGCTATTTTTCCTGGTTATATGCCCTAATTAGGAGGACATCCTGGAATAGCTGGTGCAGTCCTAAACTAATATTGGGTGGTATCCATCATGTTTGTTCCTTCAAGGTTTCTGGAGAACTTGAAATAATTCTTCTACGTCTCTTTGCACATGTATATTAGACCCAAGAGCAATAATCCCAGGACCAGGAGGAGGTACAAATAGAGGAGAAAGGAATTTGCCAACAGTATTGGTGCAGACAGTTCCTTAGGAGAGAGACAGGCGATAATTCTTAAGAGAGTTGACATGATATATACATTGTTATGAGGAAAAAAACCTGCTCCTTTTCTCTTATGGGGTACCCAAGAGGCCATACGGAGTCCTTTTGTAGGTTCTCTATCGGTAGGAGAAAATAACAGAGACCAACCAGAGAATATTGAGAAGCAAAGCAGCTAGTAAGCCTGATATTTAATTAAAGCTGTTGAAACAGGGTGCTCAGCCATGTGCGCAAGCCCTTATATAGACATTTTAAATTGCCTGCCCTGGAGTCCAAGACCACCCCCAGAAACATCATACATACATCACAGAAGGGGTGTGGCCAAAAACCACCCCCTTAATACATCAGAGAAGGGGCGGAAATCTGGGTGTGTTGTTTCTTCCTGTCTGCCAGGTTACCTGATTGGATTACCCAGGCATCCTGGCCACTCTTTTGTTATGATAACTACTCAATTCCTGAACCCAGGTCACAAGTCACAGGCTCACACCCTATTCATATCTTAAATGTGCCCTTAAGACAGGATTTGTGAAAGAGACATTGGGGAGATTTCTCGTTTCCTTCAACCTTGCAGAGAAATATTTGAGGTCATTTTGGGAGAGAGAAAATGGTTTCAGGACTTTTCTGTGGGCTTCAGACATGTGGCTTACACATTTGTATGTGTTTGCTTGGTACATTTATGAACATCTCTGAAATAAACTAGGAGTCGAGAGTGGATTTCATGCTCTTTATTTATTCAGCTCATAGTGGTGAGGAGGAACGGAAGTTCCCCCAGAATGTCTGCTTTATATACATTATTTACACAATGGGCCCCACGTGATTGGCTAATTCCGGGATTCACCTGTAGGCCAATCAGGTTGCAGATTCACTTCCACCTGGAGCTGGATTGGGTGGCTCCTATGGACCAATCAGACTGCTGCATTCTGGATCCTATTGTTCTAGAACCAATCAGACTGCTGCATTTTGGATCCTATTCAACTCAGTACATACCAATCTATTTTATATATATAAGACCTTCAAATTCTTATAACAACATGCACCCTGTTCATTTGCCTCATGGTCACCTCTGCTGTGGAAATAATATGGGTTGCTAATATTCTCTACTTTAGAGACTGTGAGGTCATTCTTTTTGAATACATGCCAATGTAAAAGTTCCCTTTGTGTAATAAACTAGCACAGCAGGTGAAACTGTTTTGTTTTGTTCCCCCCACACAATCCTTCTGAAATTTGAAGTGGTGTTGCTTCCAAACTCCACCACCTTGCTCTGCCAGCTTCGTAACTGTTATGTACTGAAGTTCTCACCCTGGGCCAGCAGGGGGATACTATAGATAGTTCAGCAGCTTCTGAGGCTACGGCCTCCTCAGTGGCTTTCTGCAGCATGAGGTCTGGTTTGGCGCGGAGACACCGTTGCAGACGGATGTCCCGGACCCCGCAGACGATTCGATCCATCAGGGCATCGTCTAAGTCTCAGAACTCGCAGTGCATTGCAGCCTGTCGGAGGGCGACAGTGTAGTTGTTAATTGACTCCCCCTCTGCCTGGTTCCGGTGGTAGAATGCATGGCGGGCAGCAATCTTGGACAGCTTTGGCGCGTAGTGGTTGCGGAGCTTCTCTTTAATCGTGTCCCACAGTGCTGCCTGGACTGCTACAGGTGCAACCAATGCTCGGGCCGTCTCAAACACCTCAGGCCCACAGAGGCTGAGGAATAGGCCCCGTTTCCACTCCTGTGATACTTCCGTCAGCTCGTTGGCTTGGAGGTAGCAGTTGAACTGAGCGAGGTAGGAGTCCCATGATTCAGAGGCTGGGGCAAACGGCGGTAGAGGCACGAGTGAAGCCATGGTTCCGATGCCGACGTGGAGGCGATGGATGGAACACAGTGCTCTAGCCAGAACGGTCAGCTCTGAATTGGTTCTGCTCCATGATTTCGCTCCGTGTTTCAGCTCAGTGATTCAGCTCAGCTCAGAGAGTGGCCGCATCTGGCTGTGCTCTGATGTCCATCGATCCCATCCTCGTCGCCAGTGTTAAGTTGTGGGTGAACATATCAGATTCTCCAAACAGCTCTTGTTTATTCACAGGTCAGAACAGAACTGAACTGAAGGGTTCAGCCAGCCTGCTTATATAGAGCTCCAGTACAACGTAACTGTAACAACTTTCTGTAACTATCCAATCACTGAACGTCACTTTCGATCCCTTATTTGCATATGTGGACCTGAACTATCTACAGTATCCCCCTGCTGGCCCAGGGTGAGAACTTCAGTACTTAGCAGTAACTGAAGCTCAAGGAGAGTTATAAGCCTCTCCTGTGTCTCATCGCTCCTCCTTTCTCTGTGCTTCCTCCTATTCTTTCTAGGTGTATTGGGTTGGACCAATTGTTGGCGGTGTGATGGGCGGCTTCCTCTACGACTTCATCCTCTTCCCCCGGATGCGCGGGGTCAAAGAGCGTATGTCTGTCCTCAAAGGCGACCGGCCAGCTGAGACCAGTGCCCCGCCAGAGCCTCCTGGGGAACCCGTTGAGCTGAAGACGCAAGCGCTATAAGCAGTGACCTTAGGGTGACAAAACCACAGCACACACACACACCCCTCCTCTGGGGAGAGAGGGGGCAGAAACAACTGGCCCAGTATACAGACTGTTATTGCTCCTGGCCAGTAGGAAGCGGTGCCTTAGGAGACACAGATCCGAAGGGACAGTTTGTTATCCGGTCTCTCTCTCTTTCTCAATCTTTTCAAACAAACGGGATGATGGAATGGGGAGAGCGGGTGGGTGGGGGAGATGGTGTCATTGCCTGATTTTTAAACACTTTCTTTTGCGGTGAGAAATCTTGAAAAAACGGCTTTAGGGGGAAAGGTGTAGAAGAACAATTCCTCCTGATCTCCCTGTTTGAATTCCTGCAAAACTCCAGAGTTGCTTCTATGTGTGTGTGTGTGTGTGTAACTGGACATGTGGAGTCCTTGCCACTTAGTGCTGGGTGTATGCATGAATGAGTGTGTGTGTGTGTGTACATATAAATATATATATACATATATATAGAAAGGCATTGAACAACATCTATTCCCTTCACATCTCTCCATTTAAGGCCCCCACTGTGTTCCGCTGCTAACTTCCTTGGAGACAGTTCATCTAGCGTAGGATTGAGAGGCCAATTCAGGCTCCTTTGTGCTTTGTCACAGCCTTCTTTCACTTCCCTCCCTGCTCTGATCTGGTCCCTATCTCATCTCTGTGGGTTTATGCCAGCAAGGGATCAGGGAAGGGAAGTAGCAGGTGAAAGGGAGAGAGCGGAGGCCAAGAAGCAGTGTTTTGACCACCCTGTGGGATCATGGCTGAGATTACATTTGAACCAGAGATGTCCCAGTTCATACTCTCAGCTGTTGTACAGCTTCCCCTCTCTGACATCTCCCTCCATTGCTGCTTCCAGACATTTTGGGAGGAAGTGTGGACAAAAGGCATCCTGCAGGTTGTATGTTGCCTGCTTCCGGTTCTGGGTATTTTACACTGATCTTCCTGGCTTTGTTGATCTTCAAGCAACAGGAGAAGGAAGGTTCTTCACTGTGTATGCTTGGTTCTGTGTACTCTTTATCTATATAAGCTGTGCGCTATAAGCACTCAGGCATGTTCATCAAAGACGAAGGACATGGCTGGAATTGCAAGACCCTGCTTTGAAAGCAATTTTGAAAATCCTGCATTTTCTGTTCTCCATGCGCAGTCACTTTTGACATCATTTCACGTCCCTTTCCTCATCTTCTTACAAGGAGACTGTATGCCATCTTACCTTGGTCATGGTATCACCTGAGATTTCTGCTTAGAGAGTGAAAGCATTTACATATATATAAAAGGCATGAAGGCTTCCTTTAATTTAAAAAATGAAAGCATTGCCCAAAATATGTAGCATATATTCTGACCAAAATAAAAATTAATACATAATAAGATGAGGGCAAATAACAAACTCAAAAGATACCAGTTTCAGACAGCTCACACCTGAGAATCCTCAAGTTGCAAATTCAGTTTATGCCTTGAGAATTAATTAAGTTTCTGCAAGTTGTGGGGGGGGGGGGGAACGACTCGTGGAATTATCTTTAGTGGTGCTATGCTTTGTGCAGGCAGAAGCATCTACCTTCTCCGTAGCTGAGCACAATGTGAGACTTCCGCCAATCCTGTAGCAGAGGCACATGGCTTGGGAGGTGGCTGGGTGGTTTCTTGATCTTAAACAACTTGGGTCTCAGATGAATTGGTTGAAAGCCTTAATATATATATGTGTGTGTGTGTGTGTGTATATATATATATATATATATATATATATATATATATTTATGAAATACAGAGAAGAACAAGCCTTGCTGAAGGGAATCAGCATGGCTTTTAAAAAGGAAAGTCCTGTCTTGATAAGCTTTTCGGATACTTAAAAATATCAACAAATGTGTGGATGGGGGCATTCTGATAGAGACTTTAGTGTTGCAAAAAACCTCCCCTCCATTTGCTGCAGGCCCTCACCAACTTCTCCTGAGAAAATTTAGCAGTCATGGTATAAGACTGCCTTCGTCAACCTGGTACCCTCCAGATGTTAATATTATTTACTGACGTTATATACCACCTTATACCAGAAGGTCTTAGGGCGGTTCACAGAACAAGATCAACATATAAAACCACAATATATATATAATCAAAATTTAAAAAACCCAATAACACCCCCTCAAAAAGAGCCACATTTTAAAAGGGCATAGGATGTTATTGGACTACAACTCCCATCAGCCTTAAGCTAACAGCATCTGGATGGCACCAGGTTGGTATAAGAGGACTAGAGGATTAGAAGGTAGGAATATATTGATTTCCCCCCACAATGGAGGGAGGTAACCCATAGAATCCCTTAAGGACCGGTGCTATAGAACAGAAACCATTCAGAGTCAGGATGAGCCATTTATAGACTGCATTAAATTACTAGTACAGTAGCAGTAATGATCCAGCATAATTTCTCCATACTGTGGGCACCATAGTGCAAATGAGATTTAAGGTAAGTAAAGCAATGCACACTGGGACCAAAATATCCCAACTTAATAATAATAATAACTTTTATTTATATCCCGCCCTCCCCAGCCGAAGCCGGGCTCGGGGCGGCTAACAACAATCAAATAATCAAACAATCAAATAATCCAACATTCTAAAAACATTTCATTATAAAAATTAATTAAAATCAAATTGATGGCAACCGTTAAGCAAAATTCTGTGCAGGTTGCCAGAGGAGGGAGTCAGGCTGTGCCCTGACCAAAGGCCTGGTGGAACAGCTCAGTCTTGCAGGCCCTGCAGAAAGATGTCAGGTCCTGCAGGGCCCTGGTCTCTTGTGACAGAGTGTTCCACCGGATCGGAGCCACAGCCGAGAAAGCCCTGGCTCTAGTTGAGGCCAGCCTAACCTCTCTGGGGCCTGGGACCTTCAGGATGTTTTTATTTGCAGACCGTAGGTTCCTCTGTGGGACATACCAGGAGAGGCGGTCCCATAGGTACGAGGGTCCTAGGCTGTATAGGGCTTTAAAGGTTAAAACCAGCACCTTAAACCTGATCCTGTACTCCACCGGCATATACACTGATGGGATGTCTTTTACTTTACAAATAAAGACCTTGGGGTTGTGATGGACAGCTCAATTAAAGTTTCACTAATGGCTTATATACACTTTGCTTTCCTTCGCTCTTTCCACGATTTAAAGCTCTGTGTCCATGTGACCTTTTGTTGCTGTTGTTCCAGAGCCTGTGAAACCCTGCTCTTTAAAGCTGAATTGATGTTTGCTCTGATTCAGGTTTAAAGAGCAGGTTTTCGTAGGGAAAGCTCAGGATGAAGAAGGAGGGGCATTTGGACACAAAGCTTTTAGGGAAGTGTGGATAAGCACTAAATGTGCAGCAATAGTTGGAGGAAAAACAAATCAGGACATAAATTTAAAATAAAACTGCTGGTCTCGGAATGCCATCATATAAAACCAATAGCGTAGTGCATTTAGAACGCTGTGTACAGTTTTGGCGTACCATCTCAAAAAGGAAAGAACAGAACAGGAAAAGGTAAAAAAAAGGGGGGGGAGGGACAACAAAAATTGTCAAAAGTTGAAGCATCTTCCTTAATCATTTGTAGCTTTTTAGTTCAGCAAAAAAAGCCATGGGGATGGGGAAGACATGACGGAGGCTTATAAACTCACAAATTGTGTGAAGAAAGGGGACGAGGGGGAAAATATTCCTCCTAATAGTATCTCAATTGATTGGGAGTAAATTCAGGGTGGACAAAATGAAGGAACTTATTCACACAATATGGTCAGTTGTGGAATTGGATGGTCACTGGCTTGGTGGTTTTAAAAGAAATTGAGTCAACCGGCACAGAGAGTAGGTCTCTCAATGGGTATTAACTATTCTAATTAAGTGGAACTTCCCTGTTCAGAGAGGTAGTTTATCTGAATGTCAGTTGTTGTTCTCTGGGCGTCTTTATTTAGGGGGTCATTGCTGCCTTCATTTCTAGCTTGTGGGCTTCTGAGACACTTCTGACAAATGCATGTGGGGAAAAGGATGACAGACCAATTGGGCCCTTGGTCTGAAACAGCGTAAGTCATGTTCTTACAGAGCTAGATGAACCGTTTGTCTTACCCAGCATAGCAATTCTTTTATGCTCTTTATTTACCACCAGGGAGTAGATCATTTTCAAGTACAGACTGACCTGTCTAGACGTTTCCCAAAGGAACTGTACTGTAAGAGTCCTGCGCAGAGATGGGAAAGACCTGTTGGAGTGAGAGCAGGTGACTGATGGTTTCATAAGAGAGGAAACTCGGATGAAGTGAGATTGCAGATGTTTCCACCTGAAAGCAAATGCTTGTTTTCTGCAGTGTTGGCATGTCTTAGCGGTGGATCTTATTTTTCAGATATATTGGTGTGAATTGGTTTTTGGAGTCTCTCTGCTGCAACGTATATAGTAAAAACTGATGTGATTTCAAAGCCTCATCAATGGACTCAATCTGGAGCCACTACATTGAGGTCTGTGGGATTATATCCACCATCATATAAAGCAACATGAACAGGATGAAATCACATGACTCTAGAATCTCTCCTCTGCAATAGATTTACTTCATTTGGGTCAACAAGTAGTTTGAATCTGGACTCACTTCACAGCAGCCAAAGGGGTTATGACTGGAGCCAATGGAAGTGAAACTGATAGCACTGAGATAGATAGATGATATAGATGATAGATAGATAGATGATAGATAGATATATAGATAGATAGAACAGGTGATATCAATGACCACGCCTCTGAAATCAGCAGATGAACAGTTGGTGTGAGTTCAGTCACTTCACTGAAGTCGATGGAATGACACTAAATCACCCCATTAGCTGGGTTTATACTGAAACCAAAAACTGGCCCATCCAGAAGATTTGCTGTGTGTGAGACACCAATTATTTATTTGTTCTTCCTCGCTTTTTTCCCATGCTGGATGGTAGCATGTCGCCTTTTCCAATGAACAGATTAACCTTCTCTTTCACAGGTATAAAGAACTCCTTTGGTTATTGTGTTGGAAATG